CTGGAGGGTGTTCTCTTGGCTGACGTCTCAATTGTCTTAGCCTCTTCCTGTGACTTGTTTGCACCATTTGAAGGGAGTAGCAGTGACTGCAATAATGTGTTTTTAGATCAGATCACCAATACTTCCACTCTAAGGAGAGGTAAGCTGTGCATGAGACTTCTGCCAAACTCCAGTTTCCTCTTATATACCATCAGATGCACGTTGCAAATAGCTGCAGCTGTGATGGCAGCACAACCTGTACTGTTGTCATAGAAAAGCCTGAACATTTTAAGTGAGTGCTGGGTACCCGAGAACAATCCAATATCTTCTGTTAGGCACCTTTGAGTTACCAAGCTGCTCTTAAACCTTGAGGTGATCATAGTACACATATATAAGGTGTAGAACCAAAGCTTCTGTATTTGTGTATGTATATAAGAGAAGGTATTCAGATGTGTTCTCCCCCCATTTTTCATGTATTTTACAGTGGTGATGGCTGGACTTTGCATGTGGATTGTTGTGATCCTACATCCTTGTAGCAAAGTCTTACCTTGGATTGAGTGTCACATTGAGCAAGGAACATAGCAGGTATTTTGGAACAGAGATTTCCTTTGTGGATGATTGCTTTCTCTCTGCTCTGAGGAAGGGGGGGGAAGCCACAGGACTGCATTTACCACAGCTCTGTGTCTGAGCTAATAAACTCTGCTGAGAGCTTCAGCTCAGGCTTACATTTTTTTTTTTTCCCCAGCCTGAAACATGGGCTGAGATAACTCAGGTCTGCCCACAGTAGACAGCACAAATATTCCTTGAAAGGGTTCCAAATGTTTCAAGGGCTGGATAGCTACAGCAAGAGTTTGTATGTGTGTATAAAAATATATACCATATAGGATGTGTATAAAGCCATTCGAAAATTGAGCAAAATGTGCACATAGCTCTATTGAGATTGCTCTTGGAGAAAAATATTTGGAAAATTACAGAGTTCCCTTTTTTAAACAAACAAAACCCACAAAACACAACAAAAAGCCAACACTGGCATTTTTGCATGTGGCTGTTATGCAAGTCTCCTTAGGAGTTACCTTTGGCACTGGTCTCTTAAAGTTGCAGCATCTTGCATAACATGCTTGCACAACAAGTACTGCATTTCAGAGGCAGCAGGTTTAGACCCAAGGCAGTAAGCAGCGATCTCTGCTACTGACACTGTCTGCAGCATTTTGTGAGAATGTTCTGAACCGTTCCAAAACTGAAGGATAGAAAATGGAGTAGAGAAGACTGTTGGGAAAAAGAAAAAAAAAAAATCCCCACAGCACATCAGTCTTGCACATTTGGATTTAAGTAAAACAGATATAAGTCATTATTTTAAAATCTGGTGCCTAAGCTTTTGAGTTTATTTACTAAAAAGGAAAAATCAATGCATTTTCGCCGAGAGGATCAATTTGTGCTCCTGCCAAAGTCAGTGTAATTTTTATTTTTGGCTTCAGTGGAAACAATTTTTGGCCATTTATAATTAAGGTCAATAGACGAAAAGTGTTCTCTATTTCCCACCCTTCCATACATCTGTAATATGCCAAACCATGAGACCCAGATATTAACCTACTCTTTTGCAGGGATTTTATTTTTAAGGACTGAATTCCAAACCCACTGTTGCTTATAGAAAACTTGTCATTGACTTCAGTGGTGTTGGATCAAGACCTGTAAAAATAAATTCAGAACCGCCCCCCTGAAATAAGCATGTATAGATCATGACTGCACTATAGATTGGACTGGACTCAGTATTTGTGCTGTGCTCTTATGTAGCTCTTCAAAACACCACAACTTTCACTGAAACAAGCTCTTGGGAAAAGAAATGGAGAAGTTTCCAAATACTATAGCTGCTTCAGTATTCATACATAATAAAACCAGCTTCTGTAAATAACTCATTTTATCTGTCAAACATTGTAGGCACATATGCCACATTAACTTGTCACTGGGGTCGTAAATAAACAATGTATCTGTCTACACATTTCTTATGTCTGGGGGAAAATGAACAAGTACACAAGAAAAACAGTAAGGAACATATTTTAATTGTAAAATAAAATGTTGATGTTGCTATTGCTAATTATTTTAAATACATCTGAACTTAAGGATATAGTTCATCATTCAGTGCAAGATGCAAAAGTGTAACATTCAAACAAAATCACGTTAATAATGCATCTAGTATGTATTCCTTAAATGCATTTCTACTCCCAGTCATTCAAGAACAACTCTGGGCACATTTTGACTCTTTATTCTTTTAAACAGAAAACAGCCCCTGTGTGAGCTGCACAAGCAGAGCTTGGAGCCACCGCAGTGTCTGTAACTGATGCTCTAATGATGCTTGAATTTGTAGCTGGAATCTTCTCAAAACGGCATTTGCAGATTTGGCTCAATTCCATCAGAATCAATGGTGTTTTCTGTACATAACCATACAGAATTTACATTTTGGTTTAGAGTGTAGGTCCTGACTCTGGTTTACTGTATATCAATCAGCCAATCTTACTTACATCTCTTCAACACTGCCACAATGGACTCTCCTTTCTAATAGCCTGTTTGCATGATTTCTGCTTAGCAGTCTGTACGGCTTATTTGTGATCACATTTACGCACCAGAGATAATAGGAGACTTCTAATGAGATGCCAAAATACCAGGAACCTGCTTTTGACCACTGAAGTATCTTGGTTGTCGAGATATGTTCTGTACACTTTTAATTTTGTTTTCTGTAAGCAGCATTGTCACTTAAAAGACCAGTTTCTGAGCTGTTCTTAGAATAGTTTTCTTGATGTATGTTTGAAAACAAGCAAATCCAAACCCAACAAACCCACAGATTCCTTTCATCCCTTTCTAAATTTGTTGTACTTTTTTTTTCCCAAAAGTTCATCAACCAGCTGGGTATGGATAGGGATAACAGGCACGATTTATGACAGAGTAAAATGAAGTTAAGCTCTGCCTGAGCCAAAGTGATAGTAGATCTTATATTTATATTGTTAGATAATAATTCTATAATTATTAATGATAATATCATGATTTAGTGTCTGTACTAACCACTAATACTGCAAGAGAGGCAATGTTTTAAAACAAAACAAAAGTCTTCATAAATTCTGTTGATTGGCTAAAATACACCTTTTATATTAATAGTCTTTCACCTAAGCTAATGAGCCAGAATATTAAGATTTAAGACATTAGTGCTATTAATGTATCAGCTAATGATGATGAAATCAGCCTTTAGATAGTTCCATGGATCTCTTGGTAACTTAAGAATGGGCAGAATTTGACTCTACGTCTAAAACACCAAAATACCACAATAAAGGACTAAGGTACATTTAATCCTGGGTTGATCAAGTCACAAGGTAGATATATCTTCAAAAAGAAATGTATTTACTTCTGCTTGACATGCATATAGCAAGAATCCATTGTGTGCATCCATGTTATTTTCCTTTGACACTGTTAAATACCTGGTAAGTTGCTTTCTGCCTCGCACAACATTGCAAGCGGCATGCTAGAAAGCATATACAATCTATAAGGAGCTCTTGTTCCTGGATTTAAACAGCACAGGTATGAGAAGAATTCCAGTGCTGACACCTCTTGTTAACAGCCCTTCTATAGGTGCTTAAGTTCAAATTAACTGTTCTGAAACCCAAATTAGAGTCAAATCTGATGTGCGCCAATTTACTCTGCACAAGAATCATGGGCAATGAAAAGTGTTCTGCTAGATTGCTGTTTAAATCGGATCACTATAGCTCCCTTGGTGGGAAAGTAGTGCAGAATAACAGTGGCCAGCGGCTAAATGTAATTTAATTATTGGGTTTACATATTGGTTAGTTCTTGTATTGCTTAAAAAGAAACATTTTCCAGCCAGGTGTACAATGTCTGGCCAGTGTTAGAAATCATTATAAAAAGCTGGAGAAATAATAGACTGATGATCTAACACATTTAAATTAAGCAAGGTCTGATTGTTGATTGCTGAAGGGTGGTGAGTTCATTTCCATCGGGGGCTGACATTTTGTCCTTCTTGTATATCGCATTGTTAGTGGTATAATGCATACAGAAATATGATGATGAAAAGCCTGAAGACTCGGAGTTTGAAAATGAAGCTTCTTTAGGTTTGAAATATCTGTTGTTTCACACAGCAGTTTTCCTGGTTGAAATCACCTGGTAAATTCGGGACCCTCCATTTACTATTTACAAACCAAAGAAAAAGAGAACTAATAAGATGTCAGTCCATCTTTATCTTTCATCTATCCGTTAGACTTTCTCATAACTGAAAGATACTCCAGACTGCTGAATGGAAGGTGGGCATCATTGTTCTAATACTGCCCTTTTTCCTCCAAGTGTATCGTAACGGCAAAATTCCATATCACATCATTGTTTGATATGAAATTGCTTGATAGGGTGTGATGACACATTCATGTTATGTTAGCAGCATAATTTAACTGCTCCATTTTTTTAAACCATTTGCAAAAGTGCCTGAAATGTGTGCATTATAAAATAGGGTCATTACAGCTATGGTTGAATTGGCATTTCAGTAATAAACCCTTTGTAGAGGGCTAGATGTTAATGCAAATTTTTTATCATTGTAAACGTGAATCAGTCATCAGCAATATGGAGTGACTTCATAAATGGACACTGGAAAACCTGATTTGCTGAATGCTGATACTGCAGCTTTCAAAAACCTGAAACGATGCCACCAAAATGTTTGCCAGGGGTGGTACAAGTTGAGAACGCAGTTTGCTGGTTGTTGGAGGGAAGAATGCTACTCACGGCACCATAGGTCAGGAGTGGCTGGCATCTACTGTGTTTGGGGGGAAGGAGGTTGAAATGGATTGCCGTCTTCTAAACATAGCCTCAGTTTGTGCCTGTATTTCATACAGGTGCCAAAGCCCATCTCATTCTGTACGTCTGTGGCATCGTGGATCCAGCCCTCTGTCTTTACTCAAGGGAAGCCCACTGCAGTAAATATGAGTGTCTCCCAGTAAAACTGATAGAGCCCTTTGCACTCTGTTTCAGAAGAATGTTTTTCATACTGTGTTGAGAAGTGCCCCTGTATTGCACATAGCGAACAAAAAGATTTGCAGTTTCTTCAGTAGAGGCCTTGACTGTTCATACGCTTAATGATTTTCTGCATTTTTGTTAAACAATGGTGTTATCTCCAGTTGAAAACCGCCAATAAACATGACTTTTTACTGTGTGATGAATTTAATGTCACTTAGTATGTTGGGACTAAAGAGGACATTTATGAATGAACGATGGCTGAGCAAGGTCCATTCCCTACTGTATGTCTATTAGAGAGTGAAATGGTAGAATTTGTTCTGTTTGTACACTATGATTTATAGAAATTTTAACTTTAAAATATCTAGCTTTTGTTATTGGAAAGGCTCTAGTAGTGGAAGCACATACCCTAAGTAGGTATCAGGTGAAAATGCAACTGGCATTTATCAATTTGTTTAAATTTAGAGTAGTGTTGGATGGCTTTTTTAATGTTTGTTCACTCAGTAGGCACATAAAAGTCCTATCTGCCTACATGGTCTATTTACTTATTAGGTCAGATTTGACACATATATGTGTTATTTCAGGAGCATAATCACTCAACTTGTTGCTGGTTTCAGGGAATTCTTTTATACTTGAGTCCTTGTGAATTGAATTAAATGGCTGTAAGATTAATTTGTTGTGGAAAATAAATGAATAAATAGGTTGATGGATATTATGCCTCTAATTAAACAGTGTGAACTGGAGAGATGGTTCTTTGGCCTTCCGGACAGAAATATAACAAATGTTCCAAGCGTTTGAGAGAGCTCTTGTCTTAAATTTTAAGAATCTGAAATTAGTAAGGTCCTTCTGCTGGTAGAGATATGCCTGACCTCTTAGGTATTTGCAGTTTTTGAGTCAGTGTTATTGAAACCTGTAGTTTAAATGCAGTAATTTCCCATGTTGGAAAGGAACAGAGCATTTCCAAAATTATAACACTGTCATATGTATATGCAAAATCTATAGGTGTTCTTGATGAATAACAATGCACTGTGACAGCAAAGAATCAACACAGAAAAATTAGGTCACAGCAGCTTGCTTGCTCTTTACACTGCCATGGTTGATTGGTTATTCTCATCACCCTTTGTTTAAAATCATTTCAGAATTAATTGGCGTTCATTAACGCAAGTCTTTGTAGTAGAATTGCAGAAACAGTCATTAATGTAGCTAATAAACATAAAAAAGAAAAAAGGATCCTATTACTGGGTCCCTACAGGCTGTTAACTAACATTTTGAATAAGAATACATAAACATAAATTAAACATTTTTACAAACTGCTAAGGATGTGGGAATTTAGCATGGTGGTCTGTAGCAATGCTTTGAACCAATTTGTTATATTATGTCAATTTTTTAAGGTTTCTGCTATAAAGCTAGTGGTCCCGATTAGCTTAGATTTTTTCTTCATTCATGCAGGTTTCTTAAGAGGTCTGTCTACCTCTGCCAGCTACTACAGATGAGGCTCTGATCCTTCTCCCCTGAGTTCAGTGAGCGTTTTTCTTCAGGAGTGTAGAGGTTCAGGTTCCTTTTGTGATGTTTTGAGAAGAAACGGAGCAAACTTAGAAGCCAGAAGTTTAGGCTGAGGGCCCAACAGCAGATACTGACTGGTGCAAGCACCACCTGCTTCATTTGTGTGGGTGAAGGTTGTTCGCTGACTTTATCTGGGTGCTCTGCCATCTGATTTTCATGGTAGCCCAAGTTAGACAAAGTCAGTAAAATGTACTCTCAAATTTGCTGTGTGCTAATTACGGGATTTCCCTCATTTGGGCTGTTGCCCTGATTTGATGGATCATACAATTTAGAAGGTAGTGCTGTATCTCTTAAACAACCCCCACAAACATTTCTTCTAGTGGATCTCCCAAGGTTATGGGTCGTTAGTGGTCGAGTACAGCACACGTAGGAAAAGTCACGTCTGCCGTGTACCCTGGCACGCGTGGGAGGAGTAGAGGGATACGACGGTGCGTGCGCAGCTGTGGGTCTCAGACCGTGTTTCTGCCTGACCCCTTGCAGGTCTGCGGGGCTGCAGCGGGTCCCAGTGCTCTGGCACAGGGTCTGGGGTTGAGCTGTTTGAGGAAGACATGCTCATCCCTGTGCTCACAGGTACTTGTTACCCAAAATAGAGCGAGATGATGCTTGTACTGCCTACTTCTACGTGGAAGGGAACTATGACTTTTCAAAGGGTGATAAAGCAACCATGGTGTTGGGTTGCAGTAGAAGGTCCCGGTGCAAGCTCTGGCTAGCTCTTCAGGAGCTCCTTCCAGCCGCACGGCAGCTCCTCACGCTGCCCATCCGCTTGGCTGCAGCGCGGGGAGCGGGCGCTGGAGCTGGGAGAGGCGGCCAAGGGCGACGGCGCTCACCCGGCCTTTCCGCACCTGCGTGGGCTGGCACAGCTGCCTCGTGCGCACCGTTCTGCCCCCCGGGGAGTCTGTAGCACACCTGAGGCCCCGATTTTCAGGCGTGATGACGTACCTAAGCAGCCAAGTGAGCGTGGCCCGGCAACTAGTGAATGGAAATGCCAAATTACTTATCCTGAAATGTTGTGGACATTGAAGTGGAGTCCTAGTGAGGAGCAATTGGAAAACGTCTCCCCCACTATTTAATTTTTTAATGTCTTTGCTATATAGTTAGTTGGTATATTTTGAGGGAGCCGTAGTATCTGAACAGCATTGACTGATGCATTTTTAACTTTGGTTAAATGCAGAGTCTCCATGCAAATGCAGCCTTGGCACGCACACTAAGTTACAAAAACATTTCAAATACAAAATCAACTAGAGAAATATATTGCTTTGCATGTCTGACTTCATACACTGTGTCTGTATACATTCTGACATACGCAGAGGAACATGATGGCTTGCCAGTGATCCATATACATTACTTTTTATAGCATACAATTTCAAATAATTCAAGCCTTAAGTAGGACACAGTTGGTAAAGGGACAAATAAATATATTTACCCCTACAATTAAAATGTAATAACAGAAAGACTAAAAATTGTTTTAGTCTAACTTTTGTTTATTAACTAGAACATATAAATGGCTTTAGGCATTACTAAACAATAAAAAAATGTGTCTCACTATTGGGTCTTTTATCCATTTTAATTTATTTTGATGCTGCATGCAGTTTCTGAATATCTTTTGTGGGTTGTAATAAAATAGCCGCAGTGCAATTTTGCATGTATGTCAAGCGGTGCGTGACCTGATATGCAAATTTAATACCAAGGTGCCAAAACTGAATTCATAATGTTTCACATCTACAGAGCTGTTTAAGGCAGTTTAGAAATCAATGAATATGTAATATGAAGGTGATAAGACCTAAATAAAAACCCTATTTATCTACTATGAAAAGTATTTATACACAGAATATTTAGCACAAGCAGAAAATGGACAGAGTTTCCAATTATATGGTTTGCATAAACAAATGTTGAACCATGTGCCTAGAATAGATAATAACATAGCTAGTTCCTTTGCATTATATTTTAGAAATGTTTACAGATGTCTCTTAGTGTATATACAAAATGAAACACTAAACTGAAGCAGCTTTTGAAGAAAACCTCTTTGAGGTCTCTTATTTATTTTTAATTTACAGTATATGGGGTGCTTCATTATAGGTTTCTGTTACCAGTTTTCAGGTTATTAAAGATCAGTGAAATAAGATACACTTTGGTGAAGTCTTGTAGTTTATGGTGAAATAAGGGACATAAATTTAACTGGTAATAAATAAGAATCAAATGTTTTCCATCTGCTTACCTTTAAAAGCAGAGAAGATCTAATTTTGGAAGCATTTTGACTTTTGAGATCTTTTCCTGAATCGATGAACTGATTATTTCTATTGTTTTGTCCAAAAAGTTAATCTAATAAAGTTTCAGGAGTTTACCAAACGATACTCATGAATTAGATTGGCCTTTTGTTCAGCATACTTAGATGTGGAGATGGACTGGGAATCCAAGTCTTGATTGATGGCAGTCAGTCCCAGCTATACCACTGAAAAATATATACTGTCTCCCCACGGAGGAGTAGAGAATGTATGTGTTTGATTGGCTGGCTGCATTGTTTTACAACACCCTGCCAGTCAGCCCAGAAAGACATTTATATCTCTTGGCTTGCAATAAGTTGCTACAGTAATGACTACCAATGTGTTGAGCAATCAAGAAAAATGTAGGGGTGCAGTAGCTTTTGAAAAATGTCCATGATGCCATATGTGTCCTGCTGGTATTTGGAAGAGATTTTGCATCCAGCTTGCTAGAGGCCAAGGTCCATCATACGAGAAGTCAGAGCATTAGACTGACAGATTAAATAATGATTTGAAATAGATACTAATTGATCTTTGTTCTTGTGTAAAAAACTAGAGAAAACTCAAACCCCAGAAATGTACGCTTTTTTTCACACCTGACCTTAAACCGGCTTGGGTGTAGTTTTCCACTGTTGGTCAACAGCCTGTTGACTTAACGTTTTGAACCTCAGCAAGGGTTTAGTGTTCACAATAAATTTGAACACCTTCTTTCTCTGATCAGATACAGATGAGCAGAACTGGGAGGTAGATTATAATGAAGATGTTAAGTTTTGTCCCTTGTGTGGCTACTGCCCCGTGAAATTGCTGCCTCCCTCTGAGAAATGAATGATGGGGTCATTTTTTGTTTCTGCATGAGGGATTGTCTAAGTTTCTTCAGCAAGTGCTAGAACCATTCACTTTTATGAAGTTTTCTTTGGTTTGTGCCAATATTTATTAATAAGAGACTGTATTAAAAAAAAAAAGTAGCCAGCATACTGTGAGTGTTGTACTGTTCTGGGCCTCAGTTATGTGCAAAAGCCTCAGGTTAATTCTCTGTACCAAATATGCTGTATTAACCTTCCTCAACTGAGAGGATGGCGCCACATTCCTTGGAGGACAGGACATCCGAGTTTCCCTTGCTCAGAAGTGCCCCATAAGAGGTTTGTTTTAAAAAAGATCCATATGGATCCTTTCATATGGAAATGGAAAGATGCTTGAGGTTCCTCTCACAAATTCTCTTTGCATCGTCTTCATGATCCTGAGGGGTGCTGAACTCTCATAGGAGACCGTGTCCTTTCCAATCCTAAAAGAAACTGCAGTACAGGACTGCATTTGGATGAACCGTGGAACTGTATTAAAAAACTGCGAGATTTACCTTCCTCCTCCGTGGGGACACAGTGTGCTTGTGGGAACTGTGCTGTTGTGTTCCCCTTTGGTTAGTCAGACATAGCCACTGAAGGGACTGAAAGGCCAAATCTTAATAACTGATATAGGAAATAAATGAACTGGAATATATGTGGCTTGGTAAATAATTGAAATGGAATATATTGTTTTTTTCCAAATAGAAACAAAATATATGGCATTCTCAGAAATGAATATTTCTAGTTCTTAAATCTTTTTCTGGAACATAATATCGTAGTATTCAGAAATTTATCTGTAAAATTAATGGACGTTATTATGATTTCCACAGGATTTTTGTTTTGATCTTAGCTATGTTTTACCCTTTCTGACTTAGAGTCGATTTTTTTTTTCTTTTTTAAATAACAGAGTTTTCCATGGAATGCAGATTCTGGTTCCTAACCAAGTCACAGAGCACAGGATAATGTAGTAAGCAGTTTGGGTTGTTTTTCTCCAGAATCATCATTTCTCTCTCCAGCCTCCTTCACAGAGCATGGAAGAGAATGGCAGGAATAGTTGGTGATGCAGAAGGAACAGGGTGGGGCAGGGACCACCACTTTCTTTTGTGCAAATTCTGGGTTCCCACCAGAGTCTTTGGTCTGTGATAGAGACTTGAGCTTTCGCTGTTTGTTCCTGGGTTCAGCTTTGAGGTTGGATGAAAACTCCGTGCTCACACCAAAACAGAGTGATTTTGCATTGAGCTGAGCTACTTAACCTTTCTTTATGCAACCCCTGAAGCAGCTGTATTATGAGTGGCTTTGGATTTTTCAGAAATTTTGGACAAGCAGTTGGACATGGACCTACAGTGCAATGACTGATTAGTCAATGCTTCTAAAAATAAATGGGAAGTCTTTGTTTATCGGTGAGAACTAGGATCTTATTATCTGACATTTACGCTTCCCTTCGGACTACTTATTGTGGAGAAAGGTGTAATGCACCTTTTATACTAATGTTGGTATAAAGACTTGAGCCACCAGTTTCAGGGAAGCCTGTACTCAGAAAATGTATTTCTGTGAAGTTCATTTTGTCATCCTGGATTGTTGTCTGCTTCATTATTCAGCAGTTATCTAAACTAAGAATTAGAGAGGCTGATCTCCTCTGGAAAATATTCCTAAAATTGGGAGTATTTTTGGGTTACAGATTTGCTTTAATGTCAGTTTTACTGCTTTGGAGAATATCCACCTAGGACAACTGTATTAATAAAGAAAGTATTCAGTATTTAAAATCCTTTTTTTTTTGGCAGCTAAAATGTCTTTATTCATGATTTTTCTGTCCCTGTCTTTTAATCAGTGTCATGCTGTGAAATCTGCCATTTTTGCCATGACGAACCCATGAAATTTGTCATTGCTGTTTCTGTGATTTGCATGGGGCTTGTTTTATGATTAGCAAGTGGAGTTCACAAGTGTGTGTTTTATTTGCATGGATCTCTGCTCTCCAAAAAATGGGTGGCCTCTCAGTCTGGCCCCCAAACTATTCTGTAACCCAAGGCTTAATATTTCTAATGTTAAGGGGTAGTTATTTCAAATGCTCCTCGAATTACGCTCCTTTCTGAATGTGGTTATTAGGTTAGACAACATGGTGCTGCCAGTGGAGCCTACCTTAAAGGCTGGGGTTTATCACCTTTGTTTTGCCACTTGCTCATATTTACTCAGTTTGGCACATAGGGAAGCAATACAAGCTTTCTGCAGCAAAGAATTCAGAGACTTTCGGAGTGTGTCATGCAGCAAAACAGATTACTGTAACAGGCTCAGCTAAGGCTTGAATCCCCAATTTGGAGTGCAAAATCTGTAGGAGAAAGTGAGGCTCTTACTATTTGATATATAGTAATTATATAGTGAATTATAGTGATATATAGTGAAATATATTTTTAACACCGAAGCACTGTCTTAGGAATCTTTTGGCCCAGCAAAAGACAGTATGTTTAGTTTAACAATGAGATGATATTTTGACATTTATTTAAAAAAAAAAAAAAAAAAAAAAGGTTTGGCTTTATTTTAAGTGTGTGGTCAGAATGAATTCATTTGCTCTTACGGGAAGAATACTTATCATAATGGATTCATGTGGTACCCATGTGCTTGTCACATGTTCTTTTTTATACACATCCCTCTAATTCCATTTCAATGCCATTTTAATTTAGCGTTAGTTAATGGACTCTGCATAAAGGTTGCTCATTTTTTATCTGGATTCTCAAACTAAATTCCTGGTATTTAAAACTGCTAAGCTGGAGAGGAGAGTACTAAATATTAATAGCAGCACTTTGAAAAAT